CACGGCCAACAAGTGCCCTTGGAACTCGTTAGAAAGCTGATCGAAAGAGATCGCAGTTATATTCTACGAATGCCAGTTCCCTAACCGGCTCATTGGACAACCTCGGCTATTTCAGCCGTGGCTCACCGAAAGTGGACGGTAACGATTTATCCATCCCAAGAGAATGTTTCGCATGGGAGGCAATCATTTCATCGACAATCATTTCACCGACAATCATTTCACCGACAAATATTCCTCGAAGTTATCCTTTTTTGGTAGTTAATTGTCTGTGAAATGATTGTCGATGAAATAATACGGACCCGTTTCGCATATATGTGTCTGCAGTGCTTGTATGATTCGTGTTCCGGTGAGGACAATGATATTCTTTAATATGAATCTAATTTGGGTAAATCGCATTGTCATTTAGATCAACTCATGGTATGTAGTCGAATAGCCAAGGTTGCTGTACCGCATTGTTGACTTTCCGAGACTATTACTGTTACGGACGAGAAGATTGCGGGATTACTAAGACTACTTAAAGAAGCCGCGGTGAAGAATTGGGACCTTACTAATCACAATGTTGGCAGTGTTATCAACTAAGAATATTTATAATATAGTATGGCCCATATTGGATCGATACTTCTGTTCTGTGAAAAGTACTATTTGTTGATTGTGATCTGATTACAGTTAATACTAAAAACACGCTGAGTAATTGAAAAAAACGTTGGGAAAAACTCGATTTATTATATTGAGATAATACTATTAACAGTTTAGCATGCAATCGTCTTGGCTGGCTTTTGTTGTAGTATTTCCCAAACTTGGATTGTATTATTACTGTTACGGTCATGCGACGGGCTAACCTCGTAATATTAATAATTTTCAAAGACTTGACAGATTTTTAACAGACGGTCTATCGTCGAAATTTACGGGTTTTCTGTTAAATTTCACGACTTGTTTTAAAAGACATTTCCAGTACTTCACGTTCGGCAATGCCTCCCCATCTTCGTATGACTACAAGTTCCCATAGCAATAGCTTTTGCAAATTATAAGTGCATCGTTTTCTAAATATTATAGGCGTCTTCTTTCCGTAAACAAGGTTTATTGGAACGAAATTGCGGCATCTAACAATCTTGGGCCATCCATCATTGCTGTAGACCAACGCGTTCAAAAATATACGTCTATAAAGAAAATATGCTATTCAATTTTCCTCGAATCCGTTTTAAGGGAATGTATGCAAAGATTATATAAATAAATAAACTTGAATTAGTTACATATTGTTAAGGTGACCAAATTTCCTGTCTTAGGCAAAAATCTATCCCGCGTGAATGTGTAAACACGAGTCGTTTTTCATCGGCAACTCAGTGGGTTCTTCAAATTATACTCAAGATCTCAAACAGAATGTTTGGGTATCAAAAAATACACAGTAATTAATCTGTTAGTAATCTATCAACGATTGAAATAATAAACAGGCCCGTTAACGATCGAAAGTGATAAAACAAGTATGAATCGCGATATTTTGAAAATCAAAAAAGTTCATTTGACCGTGTTGTTAAATAACCTTCGAAAGCAATTGGACATTCTAAAACTTACTTCGCCAATACTTTTTCAAATGGTTATGTGGTGCTATAATAAATAGACATTGGCATTGGAAAAATTTATATATTTATTGTTAGCGTGGCATTATTCAACAGACTCAATATTTCTATAACAATGGACAAGGACTTCGCGTACACAATCCCGTTATAAAGCGTCCCTACCTAAACTGTCCATTACATATAGGTTAATTATACTGAAAGTTTCGCTCAACTTACATAATCCTTATCCCTTAACAAGAATATGTTGTATTTATGACTGACGCGGACAACGAATAGAACAAACTCATTATAACAAATTTAATTTGTTGATTCTCGATGTTTTAGTAATGTACTTGCACACTCAAACACTCTCTGATGATCTTACCCGCCAATAGGTAAATTTCTAGTTGTTTGAAATACGCCAATTTTTATATTACCACGTAACGATGCCAAAATATATTTACGGTGAAACCAAAGAAAAAAATCTACTTGAACTTCTTTTAATCGGAATATGAGTAGCTCTTGAATAAACTCGTGTAAGACTGTTTCATTCAAAATTTTGAGTCACTAAATTATAAGACAATGGATGAGGTTAATATTGTAAATTGCATTTATCTAATATCAACACACAATTAGTTGTTGCCTTCATACCTGCAGCTGAATCCAAATCAGAACTATTTCTCGGTTTGGGCAAATCTCCAGTATGTAAGAGTTTACTAGAGTATTTACTCTCCTTTTCGAGACGCGACAAGGGTTTTACATCATTATGATAAACGGCATTCCACGTGTTGTCACTATACGCATTTTTAAGAAGCCCGGAAATATAACCCGTCAGAGTCTTTGCATATGGACGCTTATCAGAATCAGCATCACAACACCACTCGGCAAGCTTCTTGTATTCTTCTGGTGCTGAATCAGGCATCGCTGGTCGTAGTCCGCCCATGATATCACATACTAAATCTCTATCGAATTCTCTATCTCTAAATGGTGGTTCACCAGTGGCCATCAAATACATGATAATACCAAAAGAATATATGTCTGATTTCTGTGTAAATTTGCTAGTATGAAAGACTTCTGGTGCAATAAAAGGTAAGATGCCTCGAATGGTTGAATCTGGTTCACGTGAATTTACTGATCGTGAGAGACCAAGATCGCATATATATGAATATCCGCGATTCAAAACAATGTTTCCACCATGAAGATCACAATGCACTAAACCCACACCATGAATAGTATCCATATAATATGCGATATTCTCCAAATGCCGTAATTTCCTCCACCACGTCAATTTGTTAATATTTTGATCCAAATAAGACAAAAGACTACCATCGTTAGCATATTGTATAACAATTATGTACTCTTTTGTTTCTGGGTCTTGTGTGACTCCATAAATTTTAAGGAATAAATGATTGCTGTTTGTGCTGCTGATTGTGCACTTGGCATGATTCCTGAACTATTGAATAAATAAATAAATAAATAAATACAAAGTCAGATTAAATATCTTAATTAATGATATAAATGGTTGCTTACTTCGGAAATAAATACTTCCAGCAGTTCACTCTTAAAGCGTTTTAGTACAACAGTTTGTCCCTTATATTTGGCAGTATAGACTGTTCCATAACCACCAACTGCAATTTGTTCAATTTCATAAAAGTCGTTATACTGCATATACTCTCTGCGTTTGTAACGTTGTATAATTTTGTCCAATATTGGGCGCATTTCATGATAGAAAACTAAATAATATTTCCGAGTAGATGGCTCTTGAGTGATTCCAATTATCCAAATATTGTCTCGTGTTAATATCCCCGGGTATTCCTGAATTAGCTATTTGAGTATAATACAACAATCAATGCGATGTATACTTGATATTATTTGCATTGTTTACACGTGAAATAATTTACCTGATCGAAATCAAATGACCGACTATTACCTATCTGCTTGAGTGTCACTTGTATCGATGTTGCTTCGAGCCAATCTGCTATATGTGTGCATCCATGGCGTAAGGAGGTCATCTTTTGTACGTTTGTCAATAGGGAATACTCTATCCATTGTATGTAGGCATCATACTTATTCTTCACATTACTCCATGATTCCATAATAAATGAATCCAACGACTTGTTGCCAGTAGTCCAATCAACAGGTCTTGGCGCTTTACATTCATAACAGAATGCATTTATCGTAGGTTCTAATCGCTTTATACACGCCAGACATAATCCATCCTCACGTTTTATTAGACAATACGTTTGTTTAATTTCATTATATGTGAATCCGATGGTAACCCAAACATCCGTGGTAAGAATATCTGGATGCTTATCACATAACTAGTAAAAATGATACATGATAATAAGTCAATAATTATTTAAACTATTCAATAAACATGACGCATAAGTAATTAGTTTACCTCGGCATAATATAAATCATGTGTCTCGTCTGTTATCTCAAGCGGAATTAATGTAACATAATGATCATCGGCAATAGGTAGACCATACAACCATACGCCATATTCCATATCATAAATACAATCAAATGGAATCCATTCCAAATAGGCATCATTTGGTGAGTTTGTTTGTAGTTGAGATTTCTTGATAAACTCATCGAGTTGCTTATTGTTGCTAGTCCATCCATCGGATAATTGTTTATGTCCACAATTGCACCACACGGAACTACATCGGAGTATTCCACATGCAGTGCAGAATCCATATCGAGAGTAACAATGGTAAAAGCGTTCATTAGCAACCATATAATAATTATCGTCATACTCGGTAAATCCAATTATGAGTTTGTTGCGATACTTAAGCCAAGTGGAATATCGTCTATATTGACTGACATCATTGTTGTACTTGTGTGTCGGAAGTGAGTACATTCTAGCAAACTCGCTCACAAATGTTGGTGTACATTCTCCGCTGTTTCCAAGGCATAACAGCATTATATCACTGTCGTAACGACGACGACGATGACGACGACAAGCGTAATAAACGTTGTCAATTTGAGTTGGCTTTATGTTGGTGATTTCCTCGTAAGGAATCCATTGAAGCCTTAATTCATATTCACTTTCCAAGGAGGATTGAACAAAGTTATCAATTGCTGGATTATTGACAGTACCTAATGCTAACGACATCGTTTGAGTACTAATGCTGTTTTTGTACCAGAGAAATTCTTCACTATATCGAACTTTGACACCAAGGACGATGACGACATATCCCGTGATCGACATTTGAAATTTAAGAATACTTCAAGATTTGGAATCATGGCCGGTAGCAAAGGGCCCAATGAAGAACCGTTCAGAATGAAACCGCAGCTTTGATGAAGGAACCAAAAGTGTATGATGAGAGTGTATTTGAAGGTAAACGGAAAGGCGGAATTTTTTTATAATGATTATTATGTGCTTGTGTATTCAGGTTTGGATCATTCGATGGTTTGTATACTGTCACTTTCTATACCCAAGCAATGCGTTATGATGTTTCCATTAGGCAAGATAATTCTTTTTCCCGTTCTCCTATATTTGCCCTAACTTTTTCTCCACTTACCCCAAACTCAAGACTCTCTCAAACTTCTGGCAATAGTCTGGCGGCTTTTCACAATACGTATCTTGGTGCGATTCCACACATCCCCCATTCTATACCCGACTTCACAGCCTTTGAGCTCTTCGCGTCTCGCTTCTATTCCGATCCTTCCATCTATCCTGCTTGCCAATCACTTTACCAGCATCACATTAGGACAGTCCTCACACGGAGAAACACCTTTAACGGGAAATTATACAAGGAAGATCCCGTAATATTCGCACGAGTTGGCAAACGAACCACAATTAGTTTTGGGAGATAATGGGAGAAAAATCGTCAGGACATAGGTCGAAGAAAGTGCAAGGGGTAATCACAAATCACTTGGTGACGACAGGAACCGAAGGGAAGAATGGAAATGCACAAGTGCAGCGACATTGGTACGAAATAACATGCTAAGGCATATGGGTAGGGAATATGAGAAAAAGTTGTACTCATAAACTAAAGGGAGGGAGGCAAGGATATTATAGAGTTCAGGAATAGTATTGGAGTACCACGAGAACTCTCGAAAAACTAACGCAGAATGACAACTGATTATTAAATCTTACCCCTTTCATAGATTACGCAAGTGCTCACGTTTGGGTAGAAAATTGGGATATTACGATTCAAACGGAGAATTATTCGCGAGCAGAAAATTTCATGTTGAACTCTGTTGATAAACGTTAGCAAATGGTTACGGAAGAGTTATAAAAGCCCGTATATCTTGCAGAATATGGTAAGAAAATTTGTCAAACTAATAGACGAAAGGATGTTGAGAGAGAGTTATCGATCGGAGTCCAAGTGTGGTCATGGTAAAAATGTATCTACTCTTTTGGTCTCGGAACAAGGGGCTTTGAAGAAATCCGCTGACCATTCATCTCTGGAAGAGACATGAGAAATGTACAGTATGTTGAGATCAGATTTATTTTAAGCTTGCATCTTGTACTACTTTTTTTTATGAGCAGTTTCCTAATTTGTTGAACAATGTCTCATCAAGCAATTTCTCGTGTCAATCTCCAGCAAGTTTAGGTTAATTCAACAAGTAACCGGTTTTTTAATCTTGTTCTCAAATAGCATAGCAGCATTGCATCATAGTACTATACTTTGGCCAACTTGTCATAGCAGTTTCGGATGAAGCAAAAATTCAATCTGTATCAGAACAATGACAAGTCGATATATTATTGCTAAATACGCCAACTGCAGTAAAAATTCTATTTTTAATAACACGTCCACACTTATTGAGGAAACAGCGTATATAAAATGCAGAATGTATTTGAAAATATTCGTAGCAAGCATAAAAAATTTATTTTCAATCTTCTTTAGTTACCATACATGTCTGTCATCAATATTCTTATAAATACCCATTCGCTCAAAAAACTCGAGTAGTTTCAACTTTGCCAGCAATTTCTGGTGTTAATTTTATGAATGAACGGTTACCATTAAGGCTAACTTGCATCATACAGTGTGAGTCGACAATTCGCGAGTAGTATTCCTAATCATAAGACTATACAGACAGTGCAATTTATATGAAAGGCTTCACATTCAATAACAAAGAAGTTATACCTGACTAGCAAGCTACATAGAGCAGTAAAACGACAATCCAGTATAACAACAATTTTATCGGCACTATCCACGGTTGTATTCACTTCCTTCCCTCTTTTCTTCCATCTACTACCATCAGTATTGCTGACGTCTTGAATGCTGCCATTTTGATTATGTTGCACAAATGCGAGGTATATGCCAAAATTCGTCAGTCGGTTATTAGTAGCATAGATAATAATCCATCATCAAGAATACGAAACGTATGTGAGCTCGAGATTATACAATTGTTTTTTCATTCTGTTGACATATGTACATACCACTTCTTACGTATGGCCGAAAACACTAACAGTAAAAGTTAACAACCTCCTGTTGTAGGCCTGATCTGCGAACTGGTGAAGTTGTCATATTAACTGAAAATAAAGACAATTGTTTAAAGTACCAATTGCCTACTCGTGAGACAGAACATAACTCTCCTCTATTCTGTTGTTGTAAATACTGCTGCATAATCCTAAAATTAAAAGAATCGGGATTTTACTCTGAAGAGGGTAACAACTGTTACTATAGCAATTCAGACTCTTTAGTCAGTCGTATATATATATAGACCAAGGCTATAATTTCACATATTGTTAAGATGCGAATATATTGCAAACCACACAATTGCTCCAGCAGCAAATCTACCACGCAATGATTCGCCTTGAATATAACCTTCAGTCTGTTACGTCACTGTGATGCTCGTGAGCCCATTTTCTACTAAGCCTTATATGTTCGACACATATAAAGATCTTGGAGAGTTTATTAATTCTCTATAGTGCACATGGTATGGCCTCACACAACTGATCGAAGCTCAATGCAATGGAATTCTTATGCCGTAATGCAAGAATAATATGATTTAATGATATTTCTTATTGGTCATCCCAAGCAATTGCGGAGGAAGAATGAAAAAGCTTCGTGATTCGAAGTGTGAGATATGCTAAGCTAGTCTGAACACTATCACCCTAAGTAAATAAAAAGTGACATAAAGAATATATTTGGTGACATGAGGAATAAGGAGGGATTAGTGATTCCGAAAAGTATCCATGTACATCAAATCCGAAGTATTGAAAAGGCGTTTTCAATGACCCAAACTCTATTGAGATTTTGAATCTATTGTTCTTCATTATTGCCGACCATCTAAACAAAAAAACAACTCATTATTGGCTCGAAACCATATTTACTACTTACCATCTGTTGAGGATCGGATACGTCTCTCGGCTTTGCCTTCGTCCAACACGGTGTAGAGCCTTCGACTATGTTATTATCTATAAATCATTTCCTATAATCCTTTCTATATTTTCCTTTCTATATTATTACTACCAAACTACCAAGCTACTACTAATAAAAAGTAATAAATATATATATATATATAAACAGCTTAAACCCGCCTAAATACATCAATAATACCAATAATTTACTATACTATTACTACCGAAAAATTTTAACATCCATCATCGCAGTAAAAAAAATAAAATTAAAATTACTCCCAAATTTTCAGATTTTCGGTAGTTTGGTAATCTTTTTTCATACCTCTCATTCACGTTTTATAGCTCGAAATCATCAATTTCGATACCATTTTCCCAAACTACCGAATCTAATTTTCGCTACTGCCACCGCAAAAAAAGCGCTCGCCAAAACTCTTTAGAGTTGCCGTACGGCTGGGCCTGGTACCACAAGTTATTATAGTTCCTTGGAACGCTTTTTCAGCAATTAATACACGATCTCAAACCTACGCCCGTCCGACTGAAGGCTGAACATTTGGCCCGAAATCTGTAAGGCATACGCTATAGTATTAACCGGAACGTTAGCACCGAATTCGGCTTTAATGGTAATGTCTTGAACTGTGGTCTTGAAACGTTCACTTTGTTTTCTCAGATCAATAATGAAGAGCAGGTAGAGATCAATAAATGTGATTTTTGTGCTAGCGTATAGCTTTAGAGTATTTATAGTGGCACAGTAAAAACCCTTTTGCTTTTGGTTGGAGAAGGGACACGATACGTCACGGACATTCTGATATACCGTTGTTCCTCGATAGTAGGTATGACTGGGTGTCTAAAGAAACACTATTACTACTTTCTTTTTCATTAATCCCATAGTATGACTTCTTAAAATCTCAAAACATTCTATAGGCACGAGAAACCCTACATTTAGCAAAATCTAAATTTAAGTCAACAGTAGGATAACGATCGCCATTTAAATATTTCTGAGATTCACGTTATTAAAAAGGTATTGATTAGGAATATAGAGCGGGTGGATTTTGCCCCATCATTTGGATGTGTTTGAAAGCCAACGACTTTTTTTCAGCACCATTAGTGACGGATATTCTCCAAGAGAATGAGCAGTTTGAGGCACGTTGAAAAAGCTACATTGTAACGCCCGAAAGCCCACCGGTATCGTTTTTTATCTTCTACTGTCTTGTATAAGGCAACTTTATTATTTACGGACGAAAGGACATATGGAATAAACCAACTGAGTTTTTCTAATACTATTTTTCCAGCATTAGCATCGGCATCAAGGTCTCGAAAAATCGCAAGGTCATTATTAGTACGATGGGTATGTTGACGCCATATAAGACTTTTTTATAACCTCACAAAACCCAAATATATGATTAAAACTACCGCAAGGGCGGGATTTCGTAATTATAATATTCTGTCTAGCCTTAAAAAATCCTATATTTTCATTCAGAACGGCGCCTCTGCTAGTATCTTTATACCAGCATTGATTCTTAAATATCCTTTCGATCTCTCTATTATTCAGCCGGTATTTTACTTCATGGAATAAAAACATAACTCCATTGTTTGTTAACGCAACAGGCGCGTTATTATGGTTGGGATAATCATTGCCATCAGCAAGTTTTAACTGTCCTTCAACCAATAAATAGGATTCTGATGGAAGAAATTGATATTGGTTATTGATATCAATAGTTATCTCACTGGTTGTATTAATTGACGCGGGATTGCGGGGTTCATATTCATGATATTCAATAGACTCCACGGATTCATCAATTTCACGATGTTAAGACTAGACGGGTCATTGTATATCTTTTTCTAAACTAAAAAATAATAAGTTCAATTTATGTTTCTGGTAATCGGCCTACAATGACTTTTTCAAATTGCGTATGATAGATATCTTTCGATTCTCTGTCAGAGCCTTCTGTGAGACTGAAGGAGGGATTGGTTCTTTGACTATCTTCGCGCTATTTTCGATGCCCTTTCCTTCTACGTGACGGCGTCGGCGTTGTTTATTTTTAATTACTAGTATTTACGCTCGTAATATGTAATCAGATATTTATAGTTTTATCGCAAAGGTTCAATTGGTTGCCATCCTGGTCAGTGAGCCATACGTTCATTTGCCGAATTTGGTCTGTGATCAACGGCAAATAAACAAGGTTTCAATAATTTTCTGACCCGGTAATGCTCTAGGATAGAAGTTAAGACGATGAAATCAAGTCGCAGTTGACCATAATACTATTTACTGGCTGTATTTTAGCCGGATGTTCAGACATATAAGTACCGGATTATCAAATATCTCGTTTCCAAAGCCGAGAATGGTTCTTATTGTACTAGCGTTGAAATCAACAGTATAAAATTCATTCCTAATTTCCAATACGGTCTTACATTATATCTAATCGAATAAAATGAAATTTTCTATATTTTCATTTGATCGAGATATTATAGGACCCAACCGGTAATCTAATCGTCTCCCATGTTTTATCGCCTAAAGGACTATACCTAAAGGTATTATTAGTCTCATTGATATTTGGATTGAATTACGCGTTTCGAGATTAACTAGGGCCATTTCATACTTGTACGATTTTCCGAAAATGGTTGATCGTTTAAAATGAGAAATTGGTGACAAATCTACTATTTGACAAAACAATCGATACGCTCTTTCTGTCACTCATGGCTTTAGAATTATGAAAAAATAATATAACTTCAATTGTATGAACGGCAACTCTACAATCCTTCCAAAAAACCCTTTTTTCCCAATTCATCATAATTGCGTCGATTTCATCGCACACACCATTATTGCCAGCATGCCTGCATGCCAATATCACTTTATATCTCAGCCTGACAAAGTCACCATGTAACCATATCACGCTTTTTATATGACTAAAATAGAGCAAGAAGTTTGCTGTTGAACCCAAACTCTTTTCGTCAATGCCATGGCACGTTTTATTATACCACTATTACTTAAGTCAACGACACTATAGATAAAGTGCGTCATATTTTACGCGAAGCGAATAACGCTGTTATTAATTGTAATGCCTCCAATGATGAATAGTTGGCAACACGCTGTCTTTAGACCGCACTAGTTGTCTCGAGAGAGCAGATGCAGATATTTTTACCTGACATTCGACTCTATCCAACAGTTTAAAAGTACATACATACACAACATCAAATTACTAAATAAAATTATGAGAAAGCGCCATAAGGAATGTCATAATGTTTTGAAACCTATCATACTTGAAACTTCCCTGTAGTAGTTCAATTTCTGTCCCCCCTCTAATTGAGTCAGTCAATTATATTTAACCAATTGCACTCGCAATGTTGCCTATAGTAACAGGCCATAGATAGTATAAAGATAAGATCAATTGTCTTGTAGAATATTCTTTGTAAGCATCAGTAAATTTCTCAAGAATCTTATGCATCCGTCTATACGCATCCTCGTTCACACATCCTAATTTACTCCATCTTACTTTCCTCTTTTATAAGACTTCTGAAAGTCAAGCTTACTCTTCTACCTCTAACGATCTTTTGATCGCCTAAATACTCAATCTCATCTTTTGATATCGAGTGCTTATAGTCAAATCGGGATGAATTGGTCATTACTAACAGTGATCTTTGGGCTAAAGGTAAGAATTCAAAAAAACTTAGTTCATTTCGAATGGCTTTGCATTTAAAAAGGTGATTCGTTGCTATTACGTTTCATCTAAGTGTCATAGCGAAACCCAAACGACATCAACTTACGTAACAGCACTTTGATCTCATCTTCTCCTTCTTTCTCAAATCGCATCAAACACGGGGACAAGAGAGAGAGCGATAATATTGTCGGACCAAAAAGTGACGCGTCCCTATGAGGCATTATGCCTAGGTGTTTTGGAGTATATGTGCAGAGAGTAAGCACATCTTGGACTTGTTGGACTGAATTCAGGATTCATGATATATTCACGTATAGTTCTCGGAGTAAGTTTGACATTTACCTTGTTTTAAGTTGTATTCATTTACGGTACACATATCAGGTGGAGATGGAACTATACCCTCTGACACAAGACGAGACAATAAGAACGAGAACATAGATGGAAGTAGTCCAATGTAACGAGCATTTCTAAATGACGAGATCGATAAGTTTGCTGTATAAAATTATTATGCCAAAGGAACCGGGACTGAAAGATTACCTATGTCGATAACTGAATTCATATCCGTAATGTTGTGTGCGTCGTTTCATCTCTGGGTTGGGACTAAGGACAGTATGTGCTTTAGTTTGACAGAACTGCAAACCATTCGAACAGTCGACATACTTGCAAATTTTGCATTCTACAAGTATCAATTACGTCTTGATCAAACTTACGGAATGCCATTACCGCCCCATTCTCGATTATCTATCTCACTTATCAGTTCAGACTCCTCTTCGGGAGTTATGAAGTTCTCAATTACACGCAATCCATCAATTGATCCTGTTGACATGTCAATTTGGAGCAGTAATAATTGGAAGAATGAATACACTTCGCTCATCAGAAATCATGTTCTTGCATTTTCATTGGACGTGAATGATGATGTATTGCATAATTCTATTACTATTGCTATGACTATGTAGCGGGGGCTATTCGTTGTCCCATAAAATGAGCGTATTCCCCACCAGAATAATTTCCTAAACGGGGTTTTCAATCTCAAGTTTTCCGTTTTTTATGGTGAGCAACAATGTTGTTTATTGGTCACATTCTTCGATAAACAAATCAACTTTAAAAGTAACATCTTCCTTGTTCTTTCTTCAAAACAAAATAACCGTTACTGCATAAATATCCCATTTCAAAATTCTCTCCATTTACATTTATTACCACAGTAAAACAGTACATAAACTTTTGCGCGGCGCGCGAACCGTTTAGTCTGTAGACATACCGTTAACGATCGTTGATTCGAAAATTAGGAAGAATAAATTCGTAGAAGGAGTTTGCTTGGGATCGTATAGCCGCTGCTTTCCTATTGTTACTTCCTTAATGGGAAAGCATCGGCTATGGCCAGGTCACCAGTGGCTTACCTGCGGATATCACTGTATAGGGTTCTTTGTTAAAGGGTAGACATTTTACAGTCGTACAGTATCACCAATATCGAATGCATTTTAATTTCCAAAAATTACTGTCATTCTGGATTTCGTTCTCTCGTTTTCACATCAACCCGAATAACTATGCCCCAGACATCAATACCAATCCTAAACCCGACTAGCAGCGGCACAGACCAGCTTTCATCTCTTACACCGGACAAGTCGAAACTTTTATCACAGTTCCGATCCAATCTGCCCGATCTTCTCTTATCCCAAAACCTATCGCCATCAGAATCGACTCTAAAACCAATCACAACGGACATTGCTCTATATTGCTATCTACAAGGGAACAAATGGTCGTTGCCTGAAGCTGAGAAACAGTGGTTGAAAACTGTTGTCTGGAGAATTGCCTACAAGACCAGTGAGATTAGTTATAAGGATGAGGATATCAGTAAATGTGCTAGGTGGCGGACTAATTATGTTAATGGGTTCGACAAGTTCGGGAGACCTATAATATATTTGAAAAAGAGAGCCGATAAGAACGAGAAACCTGACTTTATAGCTGGATTGAGGCTACTAGTTCATTCGGTAAGGATATATTCATCAGCTTTGGTAATATGTGACCTTACCTTACCTTACCATAACCCACTCTCAATCCGTAAACACTTTAGCTCGAAACAGCCTTAAAAGTAATGCCTGCTACAGCTCATCAACTGGTCATAATCATGGACTTTACACTCTTCCACCAATCTCACAGTGTTCCTCTCCCTGTCGCCCATGAAACTCTCACAATTCTATCAACGCACTATCCCGAACGACTTGCTCGTGCATATTTGATAAACGCACCGTTCCTCCTACGATGCTTTCTCAAGTTGCTTTCTCCATTTATGGACGAAGTTACTAGAAATAAGATTGTATTCGTCGACAATGTTCCTACAGAGGCAAGTAAGCAAGATGAAGCAGAAACCAAAAATGATAAAAAGAAGATTGACCCACTATTATTAGAATGGATTGATGAAAGTATGTTGGAAGTAGCCTATGGAGGGAAGTTGAATTTTGTGTATGAACATGACATTTATTGGAAATTCGCTGAAGAGAACGGGATCAAGGATTGGTAATGATCAAACGTAAATGGGATGGTTGTAGACTAATAGAAAATTCTGAACTGTGAACTATTTATTACATGGAATGGGTCTGCCTACTAATAATAACTGGGGTCCTCAGAATTTAATAAATAGAAATTTGTGATCAAGCATATTAGATATTACTCGAATGCTCAAGATGACTAATCGACATCAAATGACTTCAATGATGACTCGAAAGAATTTCTTTAAACTCAAAAATAGCTGATATAGAAACAGTTGTGGGTATAAATATGTAATTGATGTAATTTGTATTTCACAATCGTTTGCAGGCCGGAAACTACTTTCAACTTGACAAGTTTTATTTACAAGTGTACATTATGTCTTGATACAAGGCAAACTCGATAAGGCTGTGGGAAGAGGTCTTCGTTTTGTTAAAATTTCGCGTTAAGCATACACAATTTCCCGGCCTATAATGATAATCGAAAGAATACTCGATTGCTGTAACATATCCTGATGTTTAGTCTCAATCGTTCTCTTTAACTTTTTTTAAATTAGATAACAAGTAATATCAACATTGAGCTATCACAATCTTGACAATATAGCAAAGAATTGACATGTTCAAGAGCTGATTTATGAGCGATTTGACTCTTCCAACTCTGATAATTCTTCCCGTTCCATCCGTTGTCGGCATACCATGTATTCTGAATTAACAAATTAACCACTTTCATTCAGTATCGATTAACGAGTTCAATTAACTTTGAATTAGTATTAGTTATAGTTGATAAAACATGTTCGGTTTTCACCAATTGCTTAGGTAGAATAACTGTCTCTTGTTCCATGCAGTTTCAATAAATTGATAGACTCTGGCTTGAGAATTTTTTGAAATCGATTGAAAGATTTGGGGCTGCTAGTCTTATTTCGTTAGACTATGACAAAGAAATTGGGATTTTATTTTGTTAGTTTGCGCTTTCAACGTACCAAAGCAATATCTCGAATGAGATTGTACATTGTATTGAATCGATAAAACGAATTTTAAGCGCGAGTAATTACATGTTAGAATAACCATCGTAAACTTAGGCATTTAAAATTTCTCACCTTTAAATTGTCTATTTTGCCCACAATAACTCGATGCAATCTGATTAGGTAACATAAGAAACTATTGTAAAACGATTGACCAATCATCGATCGCATTATATCCTATTAAAGCAGACAGGGATGCCAGGGATAATAATAATAAATATTGATATTGTAAGTTAAGTATTAGTTGAATGTCAAGTTAAACTTATCATGGAAAGCCCTTTTTTCGTACCAATAGAATATTTAATCATGGTAAGACTCTATTTGTGCTTGATGCCACAGCTAGTGTTTCAATAGACTATTGGGCAGCGACACAGCATTCAAAAATACCCAGCTTTAAAGATTTGCGTAAAGTTATAATAAAAAATTTTTCTCCTTTATTTTCGTATACGAATGGTTTAATTCGTTATCGTTTTGTCACCAAGTCTTATAATTATAAGCGTCCTTACACAATAAACGCTTATAATAAAGAATATTAATCCGTTTATATGAAACAAGACTGATAATTTTAAGGGTTCCGCAAAGGATTACATGTACTTTTGAGAAAGTGGGTAACAAAAGTAGCGCGCTGATAAGTTGGGCAAGTTGCTCAAATTAGATTAATTTCTTATCAGTATACACAATGAAAGTGGAAAGTAACAATAATAAAAGCAAATTTTGATTTTCTGCAATTTATGCAATAATGTAAGACAATGACCCAAAAAGGACAAATGAGAATGGGAGAGAGGAAAAAAAAAGGGGGGGAGGGGAGGAAAATAAATACAGGCTACATTCGGTGCGGCCGTCGCGTTATCTTCTCAAACACAAACTTTTTCGCGGACAAGACAACGACGACTGGTTGCCGAAGCCAAAGCTATTATCAAACTGAAGTCACTATAACATTAAACGGCCATGTTAGCAAACGGTGATGACTTTCAAAAAGAAGCGTATACCTGGAACTGTCGCGTCTTCTCAAACGTAAAAATTTTTTTGCAACAAAATTTTTTCCTCAACGAAACTGGTTGTCAAACCGACGTTTCTGTTGCGACAAACTACTGTATGGTAAGTGGGGAGGGAAGAGAGGGGAGTGGGGGCAACGTTTATAACAGTAAAGCAAAAATTAAGCGCACATATAACAAAAACTGGTCTATCAATGACTATAAAATGTTTGAAGTAGCACGCCTCAAAACAAATAAGCGCTATAACATTAATCAAGAAAGCTGATTTATTACTGTGACAAACATTTGAAGCGCACGCCTCAAGGCTGATAAGCGCTATAACACTGATCAAACTTTTAAACAAATGAGTGGCACACTCAAGGCAAAAAAACGCTATTTTAACATTTATCAAACTACGTTATGAACGACCAAGTCGTTAATAGCGGCTAACAAGTATCCATTCGCTCAGTAAATACATAACTTTTAAGGTACGTTAATAAAATTGTATTTTACATATTAATAATATCATTGGAATGATGTCTAACGCGTCTACTCATACATATAGCACTTTGCTACAACTCGTTT